GTTTTTGAGGATTTGCATGACCATAATGCATCTCCTTACATTTATCAACATTAAAGTTCATTTCCCATTTTACTGCCCAGTTCATAATTGAGTCAATATCATTTTGGAGGACATCCGACTTGCTAGTTGGTGTATACAATTTTGTATCATCAGCAAAAATATTTTAATGCTTTGACATCATCTGTGATATCAATTCACATACATAATAAAAAGTACCGGCTCCAACACACTACCTTGCGGCACTCCACTATCCGCTGCTTTCCACAATGACGTACTACCTTTAATTGATACACACTGTCTTCTATTGCAAAGAAAACTTTTTATCCACCATCAAACATTTCCCTTGATTCCAAAAGATGACACTTTATTTAATAAACGTACATGTGGGACTTTAACCCCCCCCCCACCATCCCCCGGTCTCCTGTCCCCTTCCCCTTTGTGGGCCTATTATTATTTTCTTTGAATTCCTAATCAGTTACAAATAATATCATTTAATGATTAACCTGTCCGTGCTCTGTCTTTGCCCTGTCCTGTTTTTGTTTGGGGTCCGCCTGGGCTCCTTGCGATTGGTTCTTGTTGCTGGGTCATATGGGGATTGCGTTCATTGAACGCCACCTTTCCTTGTTGATCTTGTTTATCATATTTTATCGAAAGCCTTTGCTAGATCAAGATATATGGTGTCCCAGCTTTGATAATTTTCCATATAAATATTCCATTCTTCTAATACATTTAGAAGTTGTAAAGCACAAGACCTTCTTGTCCGAAAACCATACTGATTGTCAGATAATAATTTATTTTCTTCAATATGTTTCATAATGTGCTTTCGAATAATTTTTTCCAATGTTTAACACAATATTGATGTTAGACTAACTGGTCGATAGTTACTAGGATTTGTTTTGCTTCCTTTTTTAAAAATTGGCGATACTCTTGCATCTTTCCATGCATTTGGAAGTAATCCGTTTTCAAGTGACTTTCTAAATATAGCGGTTAACGGCCGAACAAAAACATCAGCCAGACTCTTATTATGTATGGGTGTATGTCATCTGGACCCATTGATTTATTTGGATCAAGTTCCTTTAATAAATTCAACACCTCACTCTCCGAGATATGTATATCATCAAGGTCTTTTAACACAGTCTTATCTTTCATGTTAGGTACACAATCCAAATTTTCTTTTTGTAAAACTGTTGTAAAGAACTCATTTAACAATTCAGCCTTTTGCTGGTTTGAGGTTGTAAAATTACCATTCTCGTCTTTCAAATTGAAAACACCATCTCTTGATTTAGTTTTGTTCTTAACATATTTCCAAAAATGTTTTGGTTCTGTCTTAGCTTTGCGTGATATAACTTTCGCATAGCTTCTTTTAGCATTTTTAATAATGTCATTTGCAGCATTTTTTATACTTTTGTATTCATCATAGTCCTCATGGCGTCTTGTTGCAAGGTACTTATCCCATGCATGTCTTTTCTTTTTAATATGTTTGAGGGTTTCCCCAGTCATCCAAAGTGGTTTCGGTTTAAATCGTTTCTTAGGTTTAGACATTGGAACATATTTATTAACACATTCATAGAACTTATTTGAAAATATTTCCCACATTTTCATGGATATTACAATTTTCAAAAAGCAAAATCCAATCTAATAGCTGCCATTCATTAGAGAAACCTAGTAAGTCACATTTTTGATACATGTAAAAACCATTTCCAGTATAAAGCTCTTTGAACTCACAAAGAAAATCAAAAAGTAATATTACGTGATCACTACAGCCCAAAGAAGGTAAGTATTCAATATTGTTAATATTGGATTCACACAAGGTAAGAATTAAGTCCAACACATAACTTATTCAAATAATGAGCGTCTAATAAATTCTTCTATGAAATCTATATTAAATGTTTATACCTATCGACGGATGACAGCACGTTTAAATTATTCACAATCTGATATTAAATAAAACTAAATCTGTAAGTATCAACACCGTTTTTATTAAATTGATAAACAAGAAAAGCATTGATGCAAAGCATCAAAGGGCGTCCAAGCAAGAAATGCAGCAAGTGAAGATGAACTAGTAGACATATTATGACAAGATATTCTTATAAACTACCAGAAATGTATATCACTTATGAGTGAGCGGACGAAAGACATTGTTCATTATGAACTTTGATTGGCATGCTAGAGATTAGAATATTACTTGTTATTTCTTTATGATCGTGGTTATTAATAGCAACCGATATACATGTACACAATCATTTATAATCCATATGTGTGACGCATGATCAACACGTACCACACCTTTGTAATTGTCCCTTATTATGTTATCGCTATTAGCGAAGACCCCCTCTTAAGGTATCTGTTCACACTTAGTAAAAATATGACACTGGTTATATTACCATGTTGATAATGTTGAGCATAATTGTTTATTATACAATAAATGTAATATCTATTTATTTTAATAAAAAAAATACAAATTTTATAATATTGTTTTCTTTTCTTTTTTGTGTTTTATGTGCTATTTTAATACTGGGTTTTTACTACTCTTTTTTCTATTAAAATTGTAAAATAAATTTCAAGAATTTAATTGTCATATTAACCGACGATTATAAGTCAAAACTTAACTGGAAAAAGTCAGTAAATTATGGTTTATCTTTCAATATATAATATTGTTTATTCTTAAACCATGTACATGTACATTTGTATTTTTCTTTATCATTTTTTTAAATTATCAATCAATTGAATAATTAATAAAATCTAATTCGTAACTTTGAATAATTCCTCGGCATCTTTACTAAACACGGATAACAAATTAAATAAAATGTTTCAAAGTTGATAATGTCAAATTTATACCATAAAATGTACATTTTCTCAATTATTGTACATTTTTATTGTTTTTTTTATCTCATATAGATAAAATGAAACATGCTATTGTTGTTGTTTTTGTTTTTTTAATTGTAACGATATCAAACATCTACTACAAAACCGGGAGAGACCGGACAATAAACGTGTGGTACTATTCGCCAGTCACTAGTAAATCCCGGTCAAAGTAGACCGGGACAAACCGGTAATTACCGATAGGAGTGATAAAAGATATATCTATAAATAGATTTTCGGAATATTTAGGTCATCAACTGATCATTCTAGGATACATGTACAACAATAACATACCATGATAACCCACTGTGTACTACAAAATGATAAATAAAAAAACCCCCGAAGAGCGCGATTTATTGACGGAAAAGGTTATTTCATTTGAAAATGTTTGCATTGCGAAAATTCTCCAGTTCGCTATTCATTGTAACATATCTCGACATTTCATTCTTAATTAATAATCAAGCACCATCATACCGATCGGAATGATCGGCTTTTATTATGACCGACTAAAAAGCTCGAGAAGTTGCTGTCGCCCTTTCACAAAATCTGATTTCATTCCATAAGGGCGCCGCGCTTCGGCGCGGACGCCAATAAATTGCAGTATCAATGGTGATGATTACTCAACAAAGGGGAGTAACTATGTATAATCATTATAGAGGGTATTGAATGAGTGTATAGCCTCTCGGTTCAATATTGAATTTATTGAATGAGTTGAATAAAATTATATTATGGAAACAAAATATTATTTTATTCAATGAGTTATATATATTAAGTTAAGAACATACACAAATATAATATTCTATTAATCACATACCCAACTTTAAGACTGTTTAAAATAAAAAAAGAATACCTTTTAATTGACACAACTAGACTATAGTGTAACGCTTACACTTATTGTGTATTTACACTATGTTTCTGTAAGGCATATGATGTCACATCAAAATATCAAAATGTTTGTTCACACTTAGAAGCACATGAATGAATACCTAAGCCTGAACTTAAGTATGAAATGATTTAACTAATATTTTAATAAAAATGTCACAGCCCTATGATAAGCTTTCTAGAAAGGACACATATTAAAGGAATCTAATAAGGTACACATCTGAAATTCAGCATGGAAGAAACTTATTGACATATTTTGGTATTTTGCATATTACACGATGTTTTACATTTATCTACAGTCGAATAGTCAGTTTTGAAAAGTCATTTTTGATTTGAAAAGTCATTTTTGATTGCAATTTTTTCCAAGGTCACTTGTAGTCCAATATATCAAACGTTACAGGCTTGTTATAGTTTATGTCAGTCAAGCCCAGAAGCAAAAATATCTCAAAGCGACGTCATATTTATAGGACTAGCTAGGTCACTTGTTGTTGTTGTTAATAACTTTTTCTATACGGCCACGGTCAGCTCGTCCAAATGTCAACTCACCACTCTTGTAATTACCATACTGATTCTTTATCATGACATTTGGTAGTTCTGTTGGGGTTAATGAAGTTGCAATATTAAACAAAGTTATCAATAAAGACTATTTAAAAATTGAAATTAGATTGACCTCCTCATGAGGGTGTAGAAAGTTTCAGTGTTATGTAATTAACAGATTATGAAATAAATCAATAAATTTGCAGAATTAAAATTGAATTATGAATTTTGCAGGTATGTTAAATAAAGAACAAAATATAATGTGTACTTGATACAAATCTCAGGCATCAAAAATAAATTGAAGGAGTAATTTTTTTTGAGGTGGCTAGCCGTATGGGCCCATATTGCTAGCCTAAAGTTCCAGCCATCGTTTTTCAAAAGATAGTGGGAATTTACACTCAATGAGGAGAAGAGTGGGTCCTAAATTCAGCCCCGAAAATCCTTTTTCAGCATATTGTCGAACTGGTAGCCCTTAGTCAAAATATACTGACATGCCATTTGAAGCTATATTCTGAGATATTGTTGGTCTGGGTCAAAATTTCATGAAATATTGCCCATACACAAAATAGCACAATATCTCGTCACATAGTACAATAAGTTGGACTACTGGTAGCCCTTATATGGCCTACCTTGTTGCAATTCTTAAAGTGTTTATTTAATTTAAGAGGTTGAACATGTATAAAATAACATTGATTGATAATTTACTTTTCAATTTACAGGAGAATTATGGATATTGTTTGGCAGATACTTATTGCAGTTTTCATAGTGATACTGACATCACTGGTCATTCTGAAACTGTATTTGGAGAGTATTAAAGGAAAATGTACAAGTGACGTAAATCTCTTAGGAAAGGTTGCCATAGTCACAGGGGCCAATACAGGTATAAGTCCTCTATGTAAAGTGTCTTAAGTTAACTCTTGCCCTTCTGGTGGCAACAGTTTCTACTCACATGTATGCAGCCAGTGCAGACCGAAATCAGCTAGCACATCTGTGCCTGTCAGTATGTATATTGAAAATTTCTCCTTCAGTATAGACTAATCCATTCATCATTGATTGTGAAAATCTCAAAGTATGTACTGACTGAAATGCAAGTGCTCAGTGTATATCACGATCAGCTTGACAGTGGAAAATGAGTATTATGTCACTTAAAACTTTTTATTACTTTTGAATTCTCTTTTCATACTCTAGATTAGAAGCATAGATACCGATAATAACTAAACTGTAATGATACTACATGCATAAAGCTTTCTCCTTTCTAAAATACAATCAAATACACAATAATGTTGTTTCTTTTCTAGGTATAGGCTTCTACACAGCATTAGACTTTGCAAGACGGAATGCAAGAGTGATTTTAGCTTCCCGTAACCTTGTTAAAGGTCAGAGGGCTGTGGATAAGATACAAGAAAAGACTGGAAATAAAAATGTTCTTGCTATGAAGTTAGATCTAAATTTGATGAAATCTGTGAGAGAGTTTGTGAAACTGTTCAAAGAGAAAGAGACCAGATTAGACATACTTGTCAACAATGCAGAAATGTCAGGTATAGCAAACTAGTTATAGTCTGACTAGAGCTGTCTTTGATAGAAACGATATCAAGTATTGGTGATATTTTTCTATAAATCAGCAAATCGTTACAAATTTGAAAAAATGGATAATTTTGACTAATTAATGAAATTTGTTTAAATTATAAAATTCACCCAAAACATACACAGAAGTGGATGTCCATTTTTAAAACTATGCTGTCATTACATGTTGGACATGCTTCATAGAAGTGATGACAAAAATGGTTTTAAAAAATCATACAATTGCCATTTATGAGCAATCATATGTTGGTGTTTTGTCGATATTTGCCATCCTTTATCTATATATCATTGATATGCTTTGCACTGAAACAATGACAGCTCTAAGTGTGACTAAAAAAATTGTTGGAGCACAACACTAAATACCTTATTCCAGTATATACCAGATAAGGCAATTGAATGATTAAATGCTATAATCTTGCCTTTTAACACGCTGAAATGTACTTTTAGAAGGCTATTTCATCTCCTTGTAAATTTATGAATGAAAAATGTAAGAACAAACAAAAGCAATATTATATATATTTTTCTATTTTTTGATCATGATTTCTGTCAAGTGTTTATAGGGACTGTGTAACACTGTGTGAGTTAAATCACTGAAAATTTTATTATAGTTTTTAATATCCCCCTTTTGAAAACGGGACTGAAAAAAGAAATTTAACCCTTTTTAAAATTTAGAGTCTAACTCCCATTCCCGGTACTTCTTAAAACATTGTTGGGAAAAAAATTAATATTTAAATGTATATGTTTGTTTTGAAAATTTTTGGCAAAACCTTTACCCTTAAAAATGTTTTCAACAGAAAAACTATAAAATGTGTAGATACAAAAATGACTTTCAAAGAAGTGCAAGCAGCATTACATTTATAAAATTTGTGTATGGAAATCCCTGATATTGAAGTAGAATAAGTAGATAAAAGTTTAATCTTTTGCTGTGACAGTAAAGGTATAAACTTTATTATTTATGATATGAATTATATTTACTGTGTAATTATGGGAATTCAGAAGATATTTGCTCTGTTTGAATTGGACAAGATTAATAGACTGCTGGCTTAGCTTGATAGGGAGAGCATTGGATTTGTAATCCATGGGTCGCTTTGTTAAGTCTTTGACAAGGCAAAATTTTTATGTGATCTTCAACATTGAGTCTAAGGGCCATTTGTCTCTCGCAGCTAATTCAGAAAGCATGTTGGATAAGTAGTTGGTCACTTGCAGAAAAAATGGTAATTACTGGTCAGTTTTCTAGGAAAGTCGGTTAGGGACTGACCGCAAAGTTGTGACCAAAAATGTTAAAACTAAATAAGCAAAATAAGATTTTTTAAATTATATCAAATTGAATGATTGTACAATTTGTATCGAGTAATAATCTTTTATGCAGTTGTGCCATTGACAAAAACAGATGACGGATTTGAAGTGACGTTTGCAACAAACCATTTTGGACCTTTCCTTCTCACAAACCTTCTCATGGGTAAAATAGTTCAGCCTTCCTATTTTATAATGTTTCTAATTTAATGTTGAACACATTTAATTAATTGACTGGTACATGTATGCTTTTCATAGTTGTGTTTTGACATTAATAAAATTTAGGCAAAATTTATGATCTTGAATTCTGATGACCTGTAATGCTTTGTTTTTCATTGAATTCACAATAACTGGTTCATGATTTATATTATCAGACCTGCTTAAGAAGTCACAGCCCAGTAGAGTAGTGAATGTATCATCCTTGGCTCATAACTGGTCAAAGGGGATTGACTTTGAGAACCTGAGGGCAGAAAAAGACTATTCTATTCACAACTGTTACTTTGATACCAAACTAGCAAATATCCTGTTTACTAGAGAACTGGCAAGAAGGACAGAAGGGACAGGTTTGTTATAAATAATAAATCTCGAACTAGTCATGAGGCAAAAATATGAATCCAGAAACCAGTCTACAAATACTTTCATACTATTGGTTGATTTTGAAAATTGTTATTTATCAACATCCAATCAAATGCCTAGTTTAGACTGGTTCTAAGTTTCACTTTTAGAGCCTTGAAACTAGGTTGAATTTTTATGCATGTTGTGCACATTCACAGGCATAATTAAAGATTTTCTTACTGATTCATTATATGGCAATTTACAACAGTAATTCGATAAATTTGCTCTCTATCTAGTGTCAGTCCTATTCGCAGCATGATTTTTAACATTTTGATTATTAACATTTGACCGTTCTAAACTCTAATAGGGAACATTTATTACACAAAGAACAGGTTAAATTGAGGGTGAATGTTTAAAAAGTAATGTGTGATTTTATTGCATTCTCAAAAAACTAAAGTTAAAAAGAAGTTCATTACATTCAGTGCAATTTAGTTTCTCCAAAACTACTGATGTGAATGGTTGAAACTTCACACAGTAAGAGAGGGTATTCAAGGCCCATAACTGAAATGGATTCTGACAGAATTATAGCCCATTTTGAACTTAGTAAATTCTACTTGTTTAACAGGTTACAATCAGGAATTATAACTTTTAACGCTTAAGCTATCCTTACAATAAAATTTGAATTAGGTTTTGCAAGTTGTATTTGAAGGAGAGTTTTTATTGTTGAAGTTTTAAAAGAGAAATTGACTGGTTGGCAGTTTCTAAGACTCGTCTCCAGACACTAGATATATGACTTTATATTGTAACACAAATTTTCATTGCTCAATGGGATATTATAAGATAAGTAAATTTGAAACATTGAATTTCATTGGAGAACCCTATATAAAGTCCATGTTGTGTCATGTTTAACGTCAATACCATTTGTCCTTCACTACTTCAGAGAAATTGACTTTTGCTTTTTCAAAAAAAGATGAATGTAGGAACACAAAAACATACGTGACAATACTGTGGTTTATAATTGTTAAATGCAACAATATTCAATTTCTAGTTATGAGTATATCATCAGTATCTACATATACATGCAAAGTGCGTTAACTGGAGTGCAGGTATTAGTTACCCGCAATCCAGAGCATGCCCATTGATTGGCTCAATTTTGCTTGGGTTTACTTATTGTGACGGCAGAGAAAGGGAAGGCGATAGAAATATCATATTCAGATGCTCGTTTATTGGTTACTAGTACCTTTTTTCTGGGGTTTCATATTGTGACAACAGGGAACGTGATTTTATGTTTGATTATGAGAACATCAAAACACTCGGCAATCTGATTAATACTCGGGGGTCTATGCCCCCTCGTACAAATCAGATAGCCTTGTGTTTCGATGCTCTTTCTATTACACACTAAGATGACAATATGAAGATCATTGGGTTGCATCACTATATTCATAGAAATTCTAAAATTCTAGAAATTATTTTTCAATGTGGGGTTTGTTTAGGACTTTAATGTTATAAGCAACAAACCCATATTGTGGAAACTAATAATCACCGTGGGTAAGCAACTTTGGTCATGTGACCACAAAAGTCAACGTACACGGCCAAAATAGCTCGGCTGAGGTAAGTTTTTTTAGTGATTATTTTTCTGTCCAGCCGATTTAAATTATGCTACATAGCCTACCGACCGCGGCAGTTCCGATGCTGTCTAAAAATGTATTTAGTTCCGTCTAATTTTTTGTATTTTATGAGAACATTCAAACAATATTTGCAAATTGTCGATGACAACGTACACACTATTGTGTAAAAGTGTTGATGAAAACTTAATAAACGATACGCATGTCAGTTCTAAGTAAAATTTCAGGTCTTATAATTTATAATAGAATATTTTAATGAAAAAGAACTGGTTTCCTGCTGTCACTTTTTGTATTTATCTAAAAATTGACCAACTTACAGATATGTCAACGTACACATACACTCACAATACACGAGGCTGCAACTTCGGAGTAGGTGGCTTTTTCTAACAAAAAGCTTGTTGGCTTTATATTTAGATTGCCCTCTCGAACTATATAAGAGTACAGGTTTATACAAAGGAAAAAAGTTGCAAGTACATTCATATAATCACAAATAAGCTTAAACAACCTTTAACTTTTTATAATGTTATTTATTTGTTCTTTTGTGGTTTTCTTTTAGAAGAAAACAATCCAGTTACTCAGACTGCTTAATGATTTGCTGAAACAGCAATTTTATACTGTATTTATTTAGATCATTTTACAGAATTTAACAACGTAAACAGCCAGGATAAGCGTCTCTTGCTCATCAACCTAGTGCCTTCTGTAGCAACAAAAGTTGCCAATGGTTGACAATGACGCCGAGTGACTATTTTCTAGGTATTACCGGTATTTCAGCAGTTATGTCACTTTAACCATATTATTACACCTCGAATGTTCTATTAACATTATATTTTCAATAATATATGTCCTTGCACTAGTTATGTAATGGTCACATGTTATAGACATTGTTATTTAAAACATGGGCAAGCTTAATAGACGTGATATGTATTTTTGCATTCACAGTTTTCTTTGCCCTTGTTTCACTGCAAATTTTGCCAACCATGTCTGCTAATTTACAAGTCTATGATATGTATTCAACAAAAATGCTCAAGTGCCGTACATTTTAATAATTTGCATTGCAATCAAAATTTTAAATTCAAGCAAACCATTTTATTAGCTCGACTTTTTTTGAAAAAAAGTAGAGGTATTGTTATAGTCCAGGCGGCGTTGCCGATGCCGTTGCCGTCCGCAAACTTCTACCTGGATCATATACTTTTTTAGTTCTTGGTGTATTGTCTTCATACTTGGCCACAACAACCCTTGGGACAAAACCTTTCAGTAGACCATACTAACCTTGACCTTCATTCATAAATAAGTCCAAATTTTGCTTGTTCTTACTATTATTTGCTGTAACTTTGTTATTGGCGACGCCGGTGAGCGGCGTCGTCTCTTATGGAATACTTTTTATTTTGGCCTATGGAAGGAGCTGTTATTATTAACAGTTAATGTCAAGTTGTGTTAATTACTTTTATTTTGTTTCGTAAAATTCAAGTAAACAAATATGTTGTTATATTTGTATTTAATAACTTTATGTAAAAAGCATGTGCATTGTGATATTATATTCAAGAAATTGCAGGCTCAGTTTAACAGCTTGTCCCTTAGCTTTTTTGGCAATACAAAAATGGTTTTCGAAATTTTGTGGTTACTTGAGCGTATTCTTTTTTTTCATTTATATATTTTAAAAAAATTTTTCTAAAAGAAAAAGTTCACCTGCAAATAATTTTTAAGATAGGTAAGAACTTTTGTAAACGTTTTCCCTTTTAAAATTTTACCCATATTTTTAAATCTATTGACAGAATGTTTTGTTTTTAAAAGTTAAGTTCCGGATGTTGAAACCCATCCTTTTTTTCTGAAATTACTGTTCACATGGCACAAACTTTTTAGAAAATTTTACCATTTTTGGTGGCAAATAAAATGGGGCCTGCAAATTTATTTTTTTGCTGTTTGGGTGTTTTTTTTTTGGGTTTTCCCTTTTTAAAAGGGGAGTAACTCTTTTATTAAAATTTTTGTTTTTTGTCTATTTACTTTTTTATTACTAATTATTATTTTTTATGTGTTTGTATATAAATTGTTAATAAAATAACCTTTGGTAAAAATGAAAGGTAGAAAATTAAAGATATGCATATAGGTGCTCATGTCCATATATTAAAACAGAGAAAGGATAACATACTGAAGTTATCAATTTTAAACACTTGATATATATCCAGTTACATGTAGTTATATTAGGGATTAAACGATGATCAAGTATAATCGATAATTGATCGTTTATAGGACCGATTAGCGATGATCGAATACAAAGTTCAATAATCGATCATCGGTTATTTATCTTCTTGCTGTTACTTAAGTGACTCACTGTATTATAACAACACTTTAAAGCTTTGGTTTACCCAATAATTTTCATTAAAATGAATGAGAAAGCATACTGGTTACCATGAAGTTAATAGTTGACAGTGAGGCATTCTAGTTTACAGACATACTATGCTCAAATTTGAAATTAGAAAATTGCTACACAGTCTATTTGTAAATATGAAATAAACATGTTTTGACTTCAAACAAAGACGATATGAATAAAATTATTCTACACACTAATCATGGTTACAATATAAATATATAGTGACATGAAAAAAAACCTGGCATTTTTATTCATGACCAACTTCTCTTGTTCCCATACATAGCTTATTCATTCCTTTTATATTGGAATTGAGACATAACTTCATAGATATAATGAATTTATTTGATTAAAATATTTTACTCAAGGATGATCATAAGCATGAGTAACTAGTTTATTTCAGTTGATTAAGTGGTAGTTACACAAAATATAGAATATTAATTGAATTCTTATAAATATTAAAGTATGATATGTGTATTGTACATATTTACTTTGTTATCATAAATGTTTCGATTATATAATCGATGATTGATCGAAAAAGGTTGTTCGATTATTTTTGATGATCGATTATGATTTTTGTCCGATTAAGAAACCCTAAGTTATATAATAAAGTCAAATGGAGAGTTAAAATAGGGACAGTATTTGTTACTGTAAGAGTAATTATTAATGTTATGTGCATACATGTATATCTTAGTATATTGATATGATGAGACTTGTAATATTTCTGTATTTAAAGAGTTATAGTTATGACATTATTATTAAAGGGATGAGACTTTCATTTAAAGTTATAAATGATAATACATGTATTGATTGAAAATGTCGTTAAACTTGGATCAAGCAATTTAATTAATAAAGTCTCAAAAAATATTATTCTGAATAGCTATTCTTATTTTTTCTAACATAATCATAGTTTGAAAAGGATACCTTCTGTCTATTTGTAATGGAGGGACACCTGTCTCAACCTCCAGGTCTCCAGAGTCAACCTGACAACAGACTTTTCATAGAGTAGATTGTTACTTGCCCTTGAATAAATTTGTGCACTAAATTTTTTAGTGGGTGATTTGTGC